TTCGGAATTATATTAATAAATAAAGTTAAAAAAAAAGTTAGCTAAGGTTGAACCAGGAGTGGAAATCCAATAACCAATCGTGTGCTGACTCTGCAAACTACTTGTGCACCTCTTATGCCTTCATCACATTGTGTACTTCTGGAGAAGAGTGACCACAGTTTTGAGATCCATGCCCTGTGCTCTACCAAGTGAAGTTCAGGAAGCAGGAGTTAGCTGACAGCTCCTTGATTGCTTTGTACTGTGAATACTGTGATAAAAACAAGAGCTCTGTAGTCAAAACCGCCTGTGTTCAGGTCTAGCAGTGTTACTTCTTGACTGAATAACAGTATCCATGTTCTTAGCTGCTCTTGGCCTTCCTTTGCTCACTGATGAAATGGAAAGATTTTTACTTACTAGTACTGCTGTGAAGGTTAAATGAAGTGATACACATAAAATGTAGCATTCAATTATTGTCATAACAATTCCACAAAGCAAAACACAGCAGCTTAAAACTTGTTGCCATGCATTTTTTGCTCAGCATCCATAGGTTAGCTGCAGTTCAGCTGATCTACCTGGTTCTGGTTGGCCTTGGATGCAAGCTATAGACTAGGTCTGGGTCTGATCCCTGTGTCTCTCATCCCCTTGGTCCAGTGGCTGCAAAGGCCAGGTTCTTCTTGGTGCTTAGTGTGATGGCAGCAGCTCATCAGCACAGACTCCTCTTCCTGCAGTATTAAACCTTACTCCACAGGTATGAAATACGGAAATATTAAACCCTGCCACATGTGCCTGAAGAACTGGGACTGATCATTCAGTTTAACACACTTCTGCCAGTGTCTGATATGCAATAAACATCCATCAGTCTTGATAGACACAGAAAGCCTTACTTAATAGAAGTCATGCTCATTCTCCTGTAAAGGACAATCTGTGGGATTTTTCTCATTTTTTCCCTCCTCTTGCAGGTGTCTCCTGCACCAAGGATAAGTTGTCAGTCACATTCTGCCAGACCCTGAAGGCCATGAAGAAATGTTCCGCGGCCACCGTGAAGGCACAGTGCTGCTTCACATGTCTCCAGACACATGTCGCCCAGACTCAAGGACAAAGAAAGCGGCAGTTACTTAAGAACCCCAGAATGCTCTAAGTCCAGAAGGAAGCCACCCTCACCATGGACCACAGCAGCCTGCTGACCACATGTTTTAGCCCCAGGGTCACTTCATTGAGATTTTGCTTTATGTTTTTCAAGTTGAACCTTGGGTCATAACAAAAAAAGCCATTGTGTTCCTCTAGACATAAAATGTAGATCACAGGAGGCCCGGAACTGTCTACTTGCCGCTGCTTGATAGGAAAGTGAAATAGCCAGGAGAATCAGGCTTTACCTGGGGCTGCTCCTGAGGAAGGTATGAGATTAGGCAGGTCTGTGAAATCATGTCTCATTCTCCCCTCACAAAGATAAGAACACAGAGACCAGACTTTCCCAGACTACCTCAAGAGAATCAGGAAACAGAGTCATTCTCACCCAGGGAACAGATGATTTCATTGTTTATCTTGATGAATGCATACTTTTTGTTCCCACCATACCTGGGGAAGCTGCTATATAAAATATCCTGAAAGGTCTTCTAGGAACATGCCTTTAATTCCTTCTGGCAGGGGAATGCTGTCAATCACCCAGGATTCAACTAGGGCAGGAAGAGAAAGCATTGACTGCATCCCTCTGTCCACCCCTCAGGTTGGATTCCATATATACCCTGCCATGATTTGGAGACTCTAGACTTAGAAGAAATGAGCATAAGCTGCAGCCTAAGGGATTTATGTTCGCTACACAGAAAACATTTCTGACTTGAGGATTGTTTCTATGAAAACTCTTAAAAAGCAGATGAACTGAAATCAGTTTCTCACTACCATAAGAAAGGAAATGCAGTCCTAGCTTCTTCCCACTTGCCTAGAAGAAGAGCACTCAAGCCTTCCTGTCTGATGTCCTCCTGCCTGCATTATCCCTGCCTGAGTCATGAACCGATCTCACAACTTCTTGTTGCAGGGCTTTAGTCACAGAAACTGCTACAATCAGATCCATGGCTGCCAGCGCCCCTTACTACCCCCAGGTTGCACAATAGAGCTCTAGATTAGCATGGTGCCAGGAACTAGGTCAATTGGATCAAATGCCAGAACTTAATTCAAACTTCTAGTCCAGAGAAAAACCTCTAAAAAGTGAGCTAAAGATCTCTTCCTCAGTGTAGCTGTTACTTACTTTTAAAGGTCTCTTACCCTGGGGAGTACAGGTGAGTCAGGTGACTCCACAACTCACTGAAATGAAAGTAAGACTGAAATGAATGTTACAATCCTTGTTCTAGATGTTCCTATCACCTTTCAGAAGTTAAAATGGGCTGTGGTCTCAAATTCAGCACAAATTTCCCAGTGAACTTATTTGTAAGGGGAGGTCCTTACATGGACTGAATCCAAAAAGGGAGGGTAAACAATTAGAGGGATGAAAGCTTCAGAACCAATTCTTGACAGTGGGCAAAGTCAAGGATGTGGCTTTCATGTTATGGGCAGCATATACTCTTAATCTTTATCATGGAACACAATATCCCATATCTCCCTTTAACTGCCTATCTGTTCAGCAGAATGGTGCTATTGAAAAATGGTGCTGATATCTACATGGTGGCAGAACTAATATTAACCTATGGATAGGTATACAAATGAATAAGAGTATGTGAATCTCCACATATGTATCTTCTTTTAAAATGTGTAATGGTGTTGCTGGCCAATGCCAGTTCTATTTGATTATTTAGAACCTAAAATTATGTATTATGTGCTTTTTATTTTTTCCAAGCCATTAGTATGTATTAATCTATAAATACCTGTGGAATATACAACACTGGTCTTGGGACAAGATTCAAGATATACCAGAAACAGGAGGAAACTAGAAATGTTTACCCAAAGCCAAGGAACTTATTTCTAGATGATAATTACATTCTTGTCTTCTCTGTCTTTAAATGTTATTGGTTGATGAAAATCTCTGGTAAAATCACAGTTTGAGAGAATAGAATACAAATTATTAGTTTTATGAGTGTAGGAAAATCAGATTTTTTTTCTTAAAAAATGAGGCAATTTGCAAAGACTGTCCCTGAAGTGTATATAGTACAGGCTTTCCAATGGATTAATTTAGTAAGTTAGATTTATTTAATTCAACCTATTACTGTACTAGCATAGGGTGAAATACATGTCATCAGAGACCTGTATCTACCAGGCTTATGAAACTCAGGAACATTCCCAGATTCCTACTGACCTCAGCAAACTGAACTAGGCCAGATTTCCCAACATACAGAATGGACTATGTCTTTTATGACCTGTGCAGTGAAGGAAGCATTAGACATGTGAGGAGAGTCTGGCCAGGTGCTTCATTCTAGGTCTTTCTAGGTTTCCAGAGACGAGTAATTGGTCCTTGATCACATATCATGGACATGCACTTCCATATTGGTGCTGTGTTGAGAGTTTTGTGGCATCCATCATTGCAGACTCTAAGAGTTATCTGTCGTGTTGGTTGGTACCTTTACAACACTTAGCTATGAGTCAGCAGTGTTCAGACAGCTCCTGGTGCTTGCTATACTAGGGAGGATTCAGAACAACAAGAACACTGATGTCAAAGAACCTGTACAGTGTCTTCACTTCTTTAATGCTCACAGGGGCTGACATGAAGCAAAATTGTTGGTTAGCTTCATCCTGATCCTCCTTTCTTCCTACCTTGTAGGAGCAAGAAGGAAGTGTAGCAAGAGACACTGAGTAGATGTCCACCAGTTAACCAGAGAGGGTCACCACAGGGTCTGGTGCTAAATATATTAAGATTCTAAAGCATTTGGTTTACATACACTTCCCCAGTGGTAGTTACCTCTTCTCTAAAAGTTGTGGATCATCGTAATTCTTGAACATAAAAACAGAATTAAATAAGCAGAATATTCCAAGAGACTTCATAGTCGATACTTCCTTAAGTCAGGAAATCATTTCATGGTATGCAGAATTGCCAGCCTGTATAAAAACACTTGGTTTTGTCATGGGTTTACTCAAACAAGAGCACAATTCCGTCCATTCTGAGACAGCCAAGTGTCCACTAAATCCCAACATGATGCTTTTCACATAATGAATGTTTTTTGATAATGTTTTTGATAATCTTTACCATGCATTTGAAACACAATTTGAGGGACTATATAATTATTTTGAACCGTAAGTTGCCTTTTTATTGACTAAAGTCCTCCAACCTCTGAAAGTTGCCTATTGCTACCTCAGAGAGGGCAGCTCTCAGTTCTTCTCCCTTGTGACTTTAAGATAAACTCCAGGATTGTGTATTTGGTGCTCAGTCCCCATTGATTCACTTTCCAGGGAAAGAACCACATGACATGATCTTCCTGGTGCTCAGTCTAACCAACATACTGGATGGAACTCTTGTTGCTTATATTGCTAATTCAAACACAATTATTTTAAATAATGTCATTAAAAATAACTTGGTGTGGGAAGTACATTCCTACCTGTTGTGGTCCTCCTCAGTGGTTGTATGATATAGGTGACCAAACCCATTGCCCTATCTGCATCTCTGTGCTGCTTTCCATTCCCATTCCCCAGTTCCTTAAGGGGTCCTTCAGTGGGTACCTCAATACTTAAAGCCAGATTGTAATCACAGCCTGCCTTTGTGTGGCATCAATAAATGACCAAACTCATTGATGTTTCCATGTGATTCATTTACTCCTGCTACAAGATTCCCGTCACCTACCAGTGTTGCCTTGGAGTTTAGCAACCTGGAGGTGGATGCTGTCAATTTCTTCCTCCCACCCCACCCTGGACCAATACACCACTAGATGAATCACAGCCTAGGAAGATAGAACCTAGGTCATGTGTCATGAATGTACAAACACTGGCATGATTTCACCATATGATAATCTAAAGTGCTGTATAAAATATCCACAGTACTGGATTGCCTTGGAAATTCAATTCTTTTCACTTATAATGCACAACAAAGTCCAACCAGCAAAGGTAGAATTTGTACCTAAGGAGACAAAATCTACTTATGTGACATAAGAAATAATCTTGAGGTAGAGAAGAACAGATATCTATATGTGATCTCTGTAATGTTTGACGGCATGCATGAATGGGAGCGGAAAGAAATCTGATTTTAATCAAGGGCCAGGAACAGCTCCCTATTTTTTTTAAAAAAAGATTTATTTATTTATTTGAAAGAGTTACACAGAGAGAGAAGGAGAGAGAGAGAGAGAGAGAGAGAGAGAGAGAGAGAGAGCGGTCTTCCATCCACTGTTTCACTCCCCAATTGACCACAATTGCCAGAGCTGTGCCTATCTGAAGCCAGGAGCCAGGAGCTTTTTCCAGGTCTCCCATGTGGGTGCAGGGGCCCAAAGACTTGGGCCATCTTCCACTACTTTCACAGGCCATAGCAGAGACAGCTCCCTATTTTATTAATGTTTTATTTATTTATTTGAAAGTCAGAATTACACAGAGAGAGGAAGGGACAGAAAGAGAGATCTTCTGTCCACTGGTTCACTCCCCAGCTGGCCGCAACAGCTGGGACTGCGCCAGACCAAAGCTGGGAATCAGGAGCTTCTTCCAGATCTCCTGCATGGGTGAAAGGACCAAAGTACTTAGGGCATCTTCAACTGATTTCCCAGGCACATTAGCAGGGATAAGGATTGGAAGTGGAGTAGCCAGGTCTTAAACCGGTATCCATATGTGATGCTGGTGTCATAGACAGCAGCTTTACATGCTATGCCAAAACACCAGCCCCCTCCCTATTTTTTTTTTTTTGAAGTATTCTTTCAGGGGTGGGTGTTGTGGTACAGTGGCTTAAGTCACTACTTGGGGCACTTGCATTTCCCATCAGAGTGCCTGAGTTCAAGTCTTGCCTCAGCTTCTGATCCAGCTTCCCGCTAATGTATACCCTGTGAGACAGCACATGGTAGCTCATGTACCTGTGTCCCTGTCACTAAAGTGGGAGACCTGAATGGAGTTCCTGGCTCCTGGTTTCTACCTAGCCTAGCCCAGCCTCAGCCCCAGCTGTTGTATCTGTGGAGTGAACCAGAAGAAAATGAAAAATCTCGGTATCTCCCTCTCTCTCCCTCCCTCCCTCTCTCCCTCCCCACCCGCCCTCCACCTTGCAATTCAATGTTTTTACATTTCTTTAAAAAAATTTCTTTCCATGACCTCTAGGTAATACTTTCTTATCCTGCAACATTCAGTTCAAATGCTACTTCCCTTGGGAAGCCTACCCTTCCCTGCCAGAAACAGAGGTATTCTTCTGCTCTTGCTATACCTTGTCCATTTTTCACCAGAAAAATAGCTCTTGGGGCAGGTATTTGGCCTGGTAGTGGAGATGTCACTTGGGATGTCTACGTGCTATATCATGGTGCCTATGTTCAAGTCTGAGCTCTATTCCATCCAGCTTCCTGTTAATTTGCACCCTGTAAGGCAGTAGGGAATGATTCAAGTGGTGGAGTTCCTGCCACATACTTGGAATACGTGGATTGAGTTCCTGGGTCCTAGCTTTAGCCTAGTACTGTTCCAGCTGCTGCCAGCATTTGGGGCATGAATGAAGGCATGGGAGTTCTGTTGGTCAAAGCATTTTTTTCCAGATTAAAGAGAAGAGGACATAGATCCAACTTTCAGTGGAATGAGTGCCAAATAAATGGAGTTATGATCAAAACCTGCCACATGTATCAATTTCCAAGTTCTAAATAAAGTAGGTTCTCAGTATTTGAAGATTCCATGTTTGTAAATTTGCCTACTCCATAAAATTTATTTGTAACCCTACAATAATACTAGGTACATTTTCACAGACATGCGCAGAGCAGCAAAAAATCTGGGCTGCCCTATGCAAAATGCCATGGTTTTTGATATTTTTGTTGGTGACCTCATTGCTTAAAGTGGTCTCAAATGTAATGTCAAATTTCTGTCTAGAATTCCCAAGAACAAGAACATTGGGATATATACACTAACATTTCAGAGTCATTGGATTAGAGTGGTCTCTCCAGAATGCATCATCATACAACCACAGAGGCTGAAGGAGGATGTATTCATATTGTGTTCCATTATCATTAGTTTATAAAACACCATACCTATCTAAAATATTTGTACAAGAATGGTGATAACAGCTTTGTTTAAAATAGTCAAAAATTGGAAATAAGGTCGGCACCGCAGCTCAATAGGCTGATCCTCCGCCTGCGGCACCGGCACACCGGGTTCTAGTCCCGGTCGGGGCACCGGATTCTGTCCCAGTTATAGTTCTGTTTATAAACAGAAGAAGATAAACTGTGATATATAATGAACCATTACTCAGTAATAAAAAGGAATGAATTCTTGATTTGTGTAGCAACATGGAAAAATCATAAAACATTCTGCTAAATGCAAGAAACTTTACCCCAAAAGAGAACACATTACATAATTCTTTTTTAAAAATAAAACTTGAAAATTGCCAAAACCAATCTACAATAGAAAACATTCCATGTAGTGATTGTCTCTGGGATTTGGCTTGAGGTTAACAAGATAGGGACCTATGGGATATTATTGGCCTCTACATAAGAATAAGAATTTGCATTTGTAATAAGTTCTCAGGCAAAGTTGACACAGCTCTTTTGGGGAGTCACACTTTGACTATCACTGCTGTAACCTAGCTTTGCTTTGGTGATGTGGCAGACTTTGTAGTGTTCATTTTATGTTCTCAAAGTTCACCACAGTTTTGTATGAACTCAGGCTTCCCTTGATTCAAACATTTGCATACATTTGTTCGTTTTCTCCTCTAGAATGTTCTCATTAAGTTATGGGAACAACTCAGTAAATGAGAAAGGAACCAATGTAGGAGTAAGAGAAGGGGAGAGGCCGGTGCCATGACTCACTAGGCTAATCCTCCGCCTGCGGCGCCAGCACACGGGGTTCTAGCCCTGGTTGGGGCGCCGGATTCTGTCCCAGTTGCTCCTCTTCCAGTCCAGCTCTCTGCTGTGGCCTGGGAGTGCAGTGGAGGATGGCCCAAGTGCTTGGGCCCTGCACCCGCATGAGAGACCAGGAGGAAGCACCTGGCTCCAGGCTTCGAATCGGCGCAGTGCACTGGCCGCAACGCGCCAGCCTTAGCGGCCACTTGGGGGATGAACCAATGGAAAAAGGAAGACCTTTCTCTCTCTCACTAACTCTGCCTGTGAAAAAAAATCAAATAAAATAAATAAATAAATATAAAAAGAGAAGGGGAGAAGAAGACAACAGAGATCTTCTATCTACTGGCTCACTCCCAAAATACCCACAACAGCTGAGGCTGAGCCAGGCTGAAGCCAGGAGCAGGCGATTCTGTATGGGTCTCCCATGTGCATGGCAGGGATCCACACTTGTGCTGTCACCTACTGCTTCCCAAGGTTTGCAAAGTCAGAAAGTTGTCATCAGAAACAGAGCCAGAACTTGAACCCAGGCACACCAATAAAGGATGCAGATGTCCCAAGGCACATCTTAGCTGCTGTGCCAAATGCCTTTCCCAATAATAACATATAATTCCAAAATTTAGCCAAACAATCATAAGCCTACTTATATTTTTATTGAATGGGTTTAGGGATGTCTATCAAATCCATGTGTGCTCTATAGCACACACTATCAAGTTATCAACATGTGTACAAGTAAGTGAGTAGAATAGAAAGACCATCTGCTTCTGAATTCTCTGTTAATACAGTTTGCTCCATACTCCTTGTTTGGGCTTCTGCTGACTTTTCTTTGAGAAGAAGGAATAGCAGTCACCAATGTTTCAATGACAAAATGTTTGAAAAAATTATTAATTTTCGTGCTTAGCTTATTCACTTCCAAACTGAGAAAAGGCTCACCATTATGTAACTTATGGTGTGAATTTGTGAAACAGTTACAAAATTTGCAGACATTCTCCCAGTCATACAACTGGGATCAGAGATAGAATCTAACCATGCCAACCTGTGGAAGCCAGCAGAGGCCCAGCTGACACAACTGACCTATTGCAGAGGAAATTGTAGGAGAATTGGGAGCTCTCATCATGTCTATAAGAGGCAAAGATAGAAGTTTTCATGGTATGCTTTCCCAAAAACAAAAAAGCATTTTCCAAAAGAAACAATTATTTGCTACTCTACAATATTATCACCGTTGGCAGATAGAGTACCCTGAAAATAAAATAAATTGAAATTTTAGTTTACATATCATCTTCCTTGAGCTTGGATAGTGTAAATCAATTCCTTTCAATCATATAAAATTATGTTTCTAAATCTACTAAACTGAAGGTCGTATTTTGGACTATGGTTAATTCATCCCCTAAAAATGCAACTTCCTGCATGAAGCCCACTATGACATTGCCAACTCTCCCTGGTCTTCTTTAACAAGTGTCTGGTAAGGATGTTCTGAGATGATTATGCATGTCTAGCAGAGTTCCCAGTATATACTTTAAAACATAATAACTTTTGTTGAAGCCATTTTCTTTTTATTCATTCATTGGAGAGATGGCCATGATTGAGAAGTTGGAATTTGAAGGAGTGGGAGGCATCAAACATAAGGGATTGGGGTCAGAGAGGGAGGTAGAGTTGAGAATGCACAGAACATGTCTAGGGATAAGAAAGAAGTCTATTTTGGCTGGAGAAAATAGTAGTGAGTGTGCGTGTGTGTGTGTATGTGTGTGTGTGTATGTGTGTGTGAGTGTGAGAGAGAGAGAGTTGAGAAG